AACTACATCAACTGAATTTACTTGAGGGACTAATTGCAGCCACATACCAAGCTGAGACAGGGAAGGGCTTGAAAAATCTAATGTTCGGAGGCGTCGGGGTAAGCCACTCGAAACTCATCCAGGTGTGTCGTCGAATTAAAGACGAGGTCAGAGTGTATGTTGCATATTGACAAAGGGTAGAAAATGTCAATCATAATGACATTAGGCTCTTGCGTTCATGAGCTGTAGGAGAAGAATGGATGTAGAGGAAGAATAATAGACTAGTCGAGCTATCTGTAGCTGTGCTGCAAACCGAATTCGAGACCACGCACATCCGTTGGGTTCATTCTTCTTCTTTTTTTTTCCCCCTTTTCTTTTTCTCTACGTATCTAGCATCAATCATACATATGTAGTTTATATGCGGGCTATAGCTCCGGTGACACTGCAGACAGTCTATACATCTCATTGAACTTTGCTGGGAGGGGTGTGTGTGTGTATATAAGCTGAGCATGCACGTACTTGGGAGTAGGTACCCAATAACATACATACCACATGTGATTATCTCTTTGCTGATGCTTGACGTACCTCAAGTTTCGAAATACAGATACAATACCTGGCATTCACACTAACAAGTATCATATAAGAATTGCCCCACATCGACTCAATGGTACCTCAAAGAGGACCAAACTGATTGATGCACATAAGAAATCCTCCTGTGCGTATTTGTGCGCTTGGTGCACCACAGAAGTTGGCAGGCTGAGAGTCTGGGAGTGCTATGTATGCCTCGACAAAGTATCGATAATTGTCTATAATGAGGCCTAGTTGAACCCACCGTGACTAGCTAAATAAGTTGTTTACAGTCGAGGGGTCAGGTGATTGTTAAGAAACGATACGACAAAAAGATCTACCAAACCATGACTTTGTGAATTCAGGTGCAGGCAATTTTGTTCATATGCTTTGGATTAGGCTCTACTAGGTACAGCCTCACCCTGCCACTGTGCATACCATCCGACATACCATACCCATCAACAAGGAGAGACAGGCAATAATACCATGGCTAACAGTTCCTACGAATCATGAAACATTATTAATATGTAGGGCTCTTCCTTTAGGGCCATTGCAATCATGAGGTGGGTTACCTCATTCACTGATCCTTGGCTCTCGTTTTCAGAGTTTGGCCCGGTCGGCAGGCAGCTAAAAGGCATGCTGCTTGGTTACTGCGGATCGCCGGGGGGCCACACAGCGTCAGCAGATCACATTCAACTGGCTCAAGTTGTTGGTGACTTTTTTCTTTCTTTCCTTTATTTTTTTTTTTTTACCCCCGCTCTCAGGTGACTGCAGCTTTGCTGTCTCGGTGAGGCAGCTCATGTAACAACCATTGGCCACCAAATGGTCAATTCTACCACTGCTTCAGATATCCCTCCATAGATCATGATGTGATTTTCGTGAAACAAACTAGGGGCCCTGCTGGGACACAAGTGATACCGAGCTCTTAATTAGTAGTTCAGACTCAATGATGGTTTACTATCTGATAATGATGAGGACTGCTGTAGGCCAACAAGCAGGGGTAGAACGGTAGACCAGTAAAATGGATGACATCGATGGCTTTGTTTTTCATCATTGTTGTTTCGGAAAGGCCTGCTGCAATTTATGCTTTACCTCCTCGGTCGTACTATGTAGGCTGAGAGCCTGTTATGTCCGCAACGTTGAAACCCTACTACTAAGGTACATATTGGCAGGACTATATCACTCACAGCGTTGATATATGTGAACATTTGGTGTCCACCACTACGACTAGTACATTTCTCAATACCATCAAGGCTTGTTTCTCGGAAAAGACAACCCTGTAGATGTTCGGCAGGAGGATCAAAGAAATGTGCCTGCCTTAACCGAGATCAACATCATTACCAGCCCAGCCCCCCCTCCCCCCAAAAGTATCCGAGGTGCGTTTTCGGCCATCTCCAAGGCTGAGCCAATAGCGGTAGCTCGGCACTTCGTTTACTTAGTATCGTCCAGGGCATGAACCCAGCTCTACTGTGTACCAAAGGACGGATGTACCTGATCTTATCACAGAAGTCAAACCCTGCCTTGGCCATCTTGTCCATGAAACCTGGCCCTATAGCAACACCACATTTGTGTCTCTCAAGAGTCAAGATTGCTCCGTATGTTGTGTCATCTTGGCTATTGCCCTTCACGGTAGACTTTGGGAAGAATTCAGCCGCGGAAACCTGTTCCTTGTGTCCCGAGATGCCTTTGTGTCAGCCAGATCAAGCGTCCAATAAGACTGGGGTAGTTAGTTAGGTGTCTCTCTCCCCCTCTCTCTTTGAGCGTGAGAGTTACTTGGGCGACCATTGAAGGACAATCACAGGAGCAGGAAAAGTGGAAACAAGGGAACATGACCCAATGACCACCACTGTTATTGAAATCAACAACGAAGAACCCCCAAGAAACCCACCACACAAGCAGGTCCAGCACTAAGGACGAAGAGCGAAGGAGAGGGACGGGGGGGAAAGAGAGTGCGAGCGAGCGAGATAATTTCATGTCCAACCGAAGAGATAGGGAATGATGTCACCGTGGGGCAACTGTTGGCCTTCTTTCCGCCAGCAAAGGGTCATCGTGAACCTTCAACCATGGGTTTCTCCTCGCATTTAGACCCAAGGATTGCCACCAGCACGAGGCCCAACCAGTTGGGGTTTTTGTGAGGCCTGATGAGCGAATCGGACCTTGGTGGGTAGTAGGTCCATGTAACCGGGTCTGATTCCGTGATTTAATCTTTTCCAGATCTCGAGCTAGGAAAAGGTGGAAGGATAGGACACTTGTAGGTAAAAGTAGATAGAATGGAGGCTAAAATAGCTGCTACATTGGGGGAGTAGGCAGCACTGGAGTCTCCAGAGTGAGGAGAAACCGGGGGGAAAAGCGCAGTAGTGCAAGACGTGTGTGCCATCGGGCGGGATTGAAATTACATGGACTAGTTAATGACCGGGCACGATGGCTCTACTTCCTTTCCGACTCTCCGTGACGAATGTAAATCGTCTAGGTTATCTTGATATATTTCATGTAGTACCATCTTTAATGGGCCCTAGACTCGCCGGAAAAAAAAAAAAGTTATCTGCGAGGCAGTTGACCCTGTAGGTACTACTGTGTACTAAGTATTCCCGTTTTCTATTATTCTATACAGTAAGGAGATGCTTGCATTAGGTCGTGTAATATTCCACTCTTGATGGACAACGAAGACTCCATACCTCCTAGTACTTACTACCCACTAAGTCCCTCTAGAGTCTAGACATTCATTGAGGATTTAGTCTACTCGGGGCACAATGCCATCACTAGGCACAACAGTAACTGAAATGCTGTATCATCCACCAAAAATCAAGGTTGCCCTACTACGTATCTAACAGTGTTTAGTATCCCTCGAAGTCACCTGCCCAACACAGCTTATAACGATGGAGTAAGAGAAAATGGAGTCCCCTCACACTAACTACGGAGTAAAGGTGGAGAATACTAACCTGCGTGCCTCCAATTCCCAACTAATCCACTAGTCCAGAATATTGCCTAATTACAGCCAGACCATAATTATAGAGAACCCACCAGATTCCCACTTAAGCGTGACACTACCATCCCAGTTTGGCCCCTGCTGCTCCGTAGGAAAAAAGGGTAAAAAAAAAGGAATGGTGTGTTTGGGTCAAACAGACGACCACGCTATCTTTTTAGCGTCCAAGACGGCGTCTTTGCTGTGGCGGGCCAGAGAGTGAGAGAGACTGAGTTGAGTTGAGTATACTGTTTTTGGTAATGGGCTGGAGAAGTGAATGGATCCTTTATCCTTGTATCTGCATAGCATTATCTACATATGGTAGTTTTGTTACATGACGTTGCTCACCCGCAAGAGGTATACTATTTACTTGACATTTAGTATAGGTTTATTCATCATCTTTCCTTTTTTAGTTGTGGCTCTGATTGACAACCAACTATCTAGATAATCATCGTGATCGTGGTTCTGGACTCTTTAGTCCTCCGCTGCCCTTCCTTTCCTACTTTTCCTGTCCGACTGCTGAATCACTTCTTTGTTTCTCTGTCGTCGGGGAACTATTTTGATCGTCTGATCTGGCATTTCCTTCATCGAGCTACAACTATTGACAATAACCTTCGTGTAGCAGTCACGAGGTGTCAAGTGGTTTAGAGATGATCAGGGCGTGCAAAGGTCATGCTCGTCCAAATATCTTCGCTACATGTTCATAGCGCAAAAGTGGCCGCTATTTTTGCTGGGGGAGACTGGATATGTTGGCGCAGAATACGGGTATTGCCAGGAGACATCTCAGGAACCCTCGTCCGGCAATGGCATACGAGATGAGGGAAGGTGTCCCCGATGCAGCGTCGGCTATGTCCCGTGAAATTGATAAAATCTTGCTCTTACTCCATTCGTTGCAAAAGGTCTTTGACTAACGCAGGTGACCCTGATGAATGACCCGGGTCCCTCAGCGACGCAAGGAGTCCATCCCATCACAAGGTCCGTCACTCTCACTTCGATTTTCCATGTCATAAGAAGCAGAACGTGTTTTACATTGCCCCATCTATGATGCGTTAAGGATAAAAAAACAAACACCGCAACAGCTTTCCGCAGATGATGCTTCCATGCATGCCTAGCAGTCATGTCCATCGGCCAAAGGTTGCCGTCGAGATAAAAATGATAAGAAAAAGTAGAACAGCGGGAAAAAAAAGAGACAGGGGTACATTCATAGATGAAGGCATAGACAAAATCGAAATGATATCTCGACTGGACCGAAGATGGATCTATACAAAACTTGGTTCCGTGGCGCCAAACGACTGCCTCCCTGGACCAGCAAACCGCATTCGTGGGGATAACCGATGTGATACACCATCGTCCAAACATGCACATGGAGAGAGAAGAGCTACTAAAACAAATAGTGAAAAAGGTATAAGCCGAGGGCGGATGCAGAGCAATAGCTTCTGTCCTCCCACTTTCAGGTGGGCCCCATTAGCCCCAGCTGCACGTCAGAGCGTGCTTAGAAGGGAGGAGGGACCATGTCCTCAGGGCTCATCTTCTCTTGCTGCTCCATCAGTTCCTCGCCCGCGATCTCAAGGGAAACAGCAAGACCGAGCTTGGCCGTTTGCTACAAAGAGAACAACATGTTAGTCACTAATCATCCACCTGGAATGAAGGGACACTGCAGGAAGTGAAACTCACCTTGGCCTGATCGATCTCACCGGCAAAGGTAAGAGCGATGGGCATAGCTATCCGCTTCTCCAGAAGGCAACTGACCTTTCCGGTGCTGTCGACCTGAGCACGGAAAGTGGAAGCACGGAAGTCGTACTTGGCGCCAATGGCAGTGGTGCCGTCACGGCTGGGACCACCCATGAGAGCAGCAGCAGCGTTAGGAGCGAACTGGAGGTTCATGTCAACACCAGCCTCAACACGCTCGGAGAGCTTCTTCCAGTAGGAGGCGGTGATGACACCCTGAGCCTGCAGCTGAGCACTGGCAATCCAGTCGGCGGTCTTGTAGCGGGCACCGTAGGAGAGAGCAGATTCAGGACGAGCGTTCATGGCCTGGCGCTGCCAGATAGCCTCGAAACCAAGAGCCAGGTTGGGAGTAACAGACTGGAGATAGCTTCCGACGAAGATACCGGTAAGACCGCCCTCCAAGTAAGAAGGGTTGAAAGCCTTGAGAGAGGCGGAGAAATCGTCGCCGGTGTAGTCATTATCAAGCTGCATCAAGCCCTGGCCACCGGGCATGATCTGAGTGTTGGTCTTGGTGACAAACTTGGGGGTCCAACGGTAGTTGCCGACAGCAGCGAGACCTCCATCGCTTCCGAGGTTGCCTTGCATGAAGACCTAAATTCCCAACGAGAGAAATTGTTAGCCACCTACACAGATTATGTATTCAGAGGTAACATATAACCATTGCACCTTACCTTAGGACTTCCGTACATGGCGGAGAAGTTGTATGGGGGCATGTTGCCGGATCCGCCCATGGAGAAAGCATGCGACACACGGAACAGAGGAGACATGCCGAAAACCTTGGTCAGGTCCGCCCGGAGACCGGTGAACATGAAGTTGGACAGCAGAACATCCTTCTGCACCTCCCGGGAGATGTTATCCAGGGTGCCAGGGTTGGGAAGGCCGAGGGCGGCCCTGCGCTCGGAGAACGAGGTGTATGCATCCTTGAAGGCCGCGGCCACGGAATTGTCCGTGAGGAAGGAAGGCAAAGCTAGAGAGTCGGACATTATGAAGTCTGAGGAGATATTAAAAGTCGTTATACAGGACGGGAGAGAAACGGAGGATGATCGTTATACGCGGTTCGTCCTTGTTGGGGGGAGGAAAAGTGAAGAGACCTCGTTGAGACCAGCCCGGAAATTGAACCTGGAAAGGCGAAGAGCAACGTGAGGGATAACACGACGCTCTTGCTAATTGAGGAGTGAAGGTTGTGTCCGACCTGCTCTGGGGAGTTGAGAGGAGGGAGGTTGAACACCAGGGCAGATGGATTGGGGGAGGGAGATGGATGAGATGGTGATGGGGAAGTTCAGTTTCCAGGCGTTCTTTCGACTGCCAGAGCTTTCGGCTTGAAAAAAGTGACTGGCGCCTTTCCGCCCCGGCTGCGCTGGGCCGTCGCTGTGCTGCGCCGTAGTCACTGACTCCCTCAATGTAGTTTAGCCCGCTTCGGGCTGCGCCGGGATTGGGATCTTTAGTTTGGCCGGCGATGATATAATCCTCGAACCTATCTAGTTATTAGTTCATCTCCCTCAATTCGTGAAGAAGAGAAGAAGAAGAAAAAGAAGAAGAGGTCTCACGGATCCTTTATTATATTTGTTTTGGTAAATTTGTTGTGCTCAAATTGTCTCGACTTTGTCTCAAGCCCTTCCTATCTCTGTCTCTCTCTCTCTCTCTCTCTCTCTCTCTTTTTTCTTTTCTCGGAGACGAGCAACCAATCGGGTGTGGATCGGTCTATAGTTTATACCACCGACGGTGTACAGCTCTACTAGTACACTACTAACTAACTAACTACTACTTACTACTTGGTAGTCAGGTAGTCACATCACTGACTTACTGACAGTTACAACAACTTGATTTGTCTTTGCTGCCGCCCGATTGGGCTGTCTTGCTTTTTTTTCCCCTGAGATTGTCTCCTTGCAAAAAGCAGTACTTATTACTTCTACCACCTAATCTTCCGTCATTACTGGGACTTGCTTTTGTGCGGGGATGTGCTGAGCGCCTTCCTTCGTCTCTATTGCTCTCTACCGATACCCCTCGTTAGCCCAGCCCAAGCTTGACTCTACTATTCTTCCTTCTCCCCGAACTATCCCATCCCATCCCATCTCGCCATTATTATCATTACCGCCATGGATACGTTACTGTAAGCTCGACTCAGTCCTTCCTTCCTCGATGTGTTTCGCATCTTCTCCGAATCGTCGTGCTGGGTCCGGAGTACTTGCGATACCGCTGAACCTTTCCCGATTATCGATTCCACTTGCTCTAACGTACTCCTAGAACCGCGGATATCGTTGCCAACTCCCCGCGATTTCGGCGCAAGTCGTCGACTTTCGTCGATGCAATTCACGACCTGCCTGAAAAGGCCGATTTGGCTCCCGCGCAGCTCTACAGCACCGAATCCGGCCGACTCTTCCACTCCGGCCGCATTGTCATCATCACGGTAGGATTACCGGCAAGAGGCAAGACGTTCGTTTGACCAAACCCATTCGTCATTGGTCCACTCCATTCATTAACCTTTGGTCAGGCATATGTCGGTCGCTCTGGCACGTTACCTTCGCTGGTAAGTACACCATCCGGCCCATGGCTCTATTGCTAGCAGAGCCGGATTGACATCATCGCAGGTTAGGTGTCAAGACAAGAATATTCCACCTCGGCGATTATCGACGTGCTACCATCCCCTACGGCCAAGATATCCCTGATGACTACTTCTTTGTCAACGGTACGCGATGGCCTCTATATCCACGAAGACGTACCGTGGCCGGCCTGAGGGGCTGACCACTTTTATTTTAAACATTTCGCTTGCTAATCGAACATATAGCGTCGGCTTCGTCTGTGCTCCTAAGGCAGAAGATTGTTAAGCGATGTCGCGAAGATATATACCACTTCTTGAATCATGAGAATGGGCAGATAGCGATATACGATGCAGTCAATCCCATCGCTTCGGGACGACGGTCACTCGCCAAGGAATTCTCCAAGCATGATATAGAGGTACTCGAAATCGGCCTACCCTCAATATCACACATTTGCTAATTCTGCCCTCCATGGAAATCCAGACTCTGTTCATTGAATCGTGGTGTGACGATGAACGCATAATCGAGGAGAATGTCCGACGGGTCAAGATATCCTCACCCGACGTACGTGTAGCTACCATGGAACCCCGATTCTATCACGTATACTCACCCTTGGCAGTACGTAGGGTGGTCTTCAGAAGACGCGGTCAAACATTACTTGACCAGGATAGCTGCCCGTATCCCCCAATTCCAGACTATGGAGGAGACGGACCTCAATTACATCAAGGTATCTGCTCCATCCTGCATGATGCAGCTTCCCTTTCGCTAATATCTCACCAGATGATCAACGCAGGTGAACGTTTGATTGTAAACAACAAAAGCTTTGGCTACCTCTCTAACCGGATTGTGTTCTACCTCCTGAACCTCCATATCAAATCAAGACACACGTATTTTGCCAGAGTCAGTCTGCCTGTTGCGACGCATATTGACGGGAGATCTTTAAGTTACTGACGAATATGTGTGTGACTAGGCTGGCGTTTCACTGGAAGCAGGCTCATACAAAGCGGATGCCTCACTATCCGAGCAAGGAGAGGAGTACGCCAAAAAGATGACAGAGTGCTTGCTGCAGCACAGGGAGGCTGAAAGACAAGCTATGGCCGACCAAGGGGAGACAGACTACGAACTAAAGCCGCTGACAGTCTGGACGTCTACGCGACGGAGGACAGTCGAAACCGCCAAGTATCTCCATGAGAAAGGATACAAAGTACGGCAGCGATCACAAATGAGCCAGTTGAACCCTGGGGTATGCGAGATGATGTCGGAACGAAAAATCCGCCAGGAGTATCCGGACGAAGTGGCGAAGCATGATCTTGACCCCTATCACCATCGTTACCCTCGAGCAGAGGTAGGTCGTGTCCTTGTTTTCGTTTAGTCATGGAGGGTTCCGAAACTGACTAGAATGGTAGTCCTATCATGACCTTGCGGTACGGCTGGAGCCGATTATCCTGGAGCTTGAGCGCGAGCAGAATGATCTCTTGATTATCGCGCACGAGAGCGTATTAAGAGTGCTTTATGGATACCTGATGGCATGCAATGCCGCCGACATTCCATTCCTGGAGTTCCCACGGGACGAGATAATTGAAGTGAGGCGATTGTTACAGGTTTAACGGCGTTGAACACCTCAGCTAACTGACTTCTTCAGATAATACCCGAAAGCTATCAGAACGAGGCGCGCCGAATCCACATCCCTGGTCTACCCAAAGAGATCATCCCTGGCTCACCCGAAGACATCAAGATTCCCGTCCCGCCGAGTGGGATGATGACCCCGCTGGCTGGGGGACTTGGCAGCCCAAAGGAAGGCCTTGCAACGCCGCAGAGCGGCCTTCGAACTCCTCGGGAGCCTGAGAGGATCTCACAGCAGCATGTGGAAGATGTTGTGTAGATTCGCATTCCATCTTGTATATAGGACCCCGCGACCGCTTGCCCGTAGGAATATCGTCGGTACGATTGTGAACGTAGATAGTCATTAGCGCTAGCCCCCATGAAGCGTAGAAACGAAGACAATGTTATCCTTCTGCTGAAGTTCGTAATTCTCCTCGCCTTCGAGCTCCCAATCAGCGTCGTTGATGAGGACCAAGATTCCCGGTCGTCTGTCGCACAAGGTCAGCCTGATCGCGTTACACTGTATTCCCATGCGATGAGATGGAACGTACACGTTGCCTTCCAAAATGAACAATTCCTGCCTCTGATCCTTCATGTAGTTCTTCACCAGATGACCCAGGAGGTAGCTGATAGTTGGCCGGCTGCCGTCGTCAAGGTGCGAAGGTAGGGTGACGTGGTGTTTGCGCTCGTTAGCAAACAGAATCTCTAGACCACCTCTGTTTGTGCAAACCAAGCCAAGTCAGTCATGAGTAGAAGCCTGGGGTGATTGCATGATAAGGGTGAGAGCCGAACGTGAACTCAACGGTAATAGCAATGGAACCGGCGCCATCTTTGCCCAGCTCAGGGGCTCCAGGGTTCGTGGCCATGTTATTAAACAAGAGAGAGAGGTATAACTAATGCGCTAGTAAGGCGAGGTAATGAATTGGTGATTGCGCGGGCTCGTCAGGGCTCGTGGACAAGGCGTTAGTTATTGCGGCGAGGATGGAGATGGAGGGGTTGGCAAAAGACGGGGTCCGGATTTCTCGCTGCTTATCGATAAGCCGCCCAGTTTGCCGGCACAAAAAGTCGGCTGGCTGTGCGATCCATTCGAACATGGTTGGTTGGTGACGAACAAGCCCACCCCTCACTCTTACTTCCTTCCCTGTCTGTGGCTCTGCTGGCCTGCTTGATCTTTTTCCAATATAACCTAAACTAATTGCTCGAACTTCCGACTTGGACGAGCTTCATGGTCTCCATCACGACCGAGTACATCAGCGTCGGGGGCAATAGGCATCCCGCCGCCGCCGATTGGGACGTCCAGTCAGGCGTGCTTGCCTTTGGCGCAGATAACAATGTAGCTCTCTGGGATCCTCGAGTAAGTTACTCCTCAAGATCCGCTTGTTTGCTTCCAATATGGTGTTAGTTTTGATACTGATGGTGGGGCCTTGGGTGATGATGTAGGAGAGCTCCCAGCGCGGGGTCTATTCGCTTCTTGTCGGCCACACCGACAAGGTCAGTGTCGTTCGGTTCTACACATGCCCTTCCACCGGAGCGAGACTTCTCTTGACTGGCTCTGTTGATCATACGGTCCGGTTATGGCGCCCCGATTCAGAAAACTCCCGCCAATTCGTCCACGCGCATACTTTGGAAGGACATACCGGCTCAGTCAATACCATCGCCATAGCTGAAGGATTGGACATCGTCGCATCGGGCGCAGCTGATGCTACTGTGAAGATATGGAAGATCAGCACGCAGGGGGAGCCGAAGGGCGAGCTCTTGAGATCTATTCCCATGAAGCCACGCTTCTTTCCGTTGGCTTTGGCGTTGACACCGCTTCGAACGGAGTCGAATGACAGACCTGTGGCTCTGGCGGTGGCAGGGACCACAAACATTGTGCAGGTATATGTAGCAGAGAACACTCTTGTCGACCCCGATTTCAAGCTTGCGGCTGTGCTGTCTGGACACGAGGCGTGGGTGCGCTCCTTGTCTTTCACGTCGGACAAGCAGAGCAAGACGGGTGATCTGCTATTGGCCTCGGCCAGTCAAGACAAGTATGTTCGACTCTGGCGGTTCCAACGTGGAGAGGTTACTCAGGCCACGCCGGCGTGTGATGACGATCCTATGCTGGGCGGCTTCGAGCCGACGCTATCGAACAAGGCGCATCAGTTCACCACGGCAGGGATCAAATACTCTGTTACATTCGAAGCTCTGTTGTTCGGAAACGAGGACTGGATCTACACGACTGCGTGGAACCCTGACCCAGAGCGCCAGCAACTTCTCACTGCTTCGGCAGACAACACATTGACCATTTGGGAACAAGATCCGGTCTCGGGAGTGTGGCTTTCTGCCGAAAGAATGGGAGAGATCAGTGTTCAGAAAGGTTCCACTACAGCTACTGGTAGTACTGGTGGGTTCTGGATTGGTCTTTGGGCCCCAGACGGCAAGCAAGTTGTAAGTCTGGGCCGCACTGGAAGCTGGCGCTCGTGGAAGTACGATGCGGAAACCGATATGTGGGCGCAGTCCCTGGGTATTTCCGGGCACGTGCGGTCAGCCAATGGGGTCCAATGGGAGCCTACTGGAGGATATCTCTTGTCGACAAGTGCGGATCAGACGACACGTCTGCACGCCCAGTGGCTGCGCGATGGACTAAAGTCATGGCATGAATTTTCACGACCTCAGATCCATGGCTACGATTTGAATTGCGTGGACACTCTGGGCCCGGCTCGGTTCGTGTCCGGTGCCGAAGAGAAGCTATTGCGAGTGTTCAATGAGCCTGGGCCTATCGCACAGCTCCTAGAGAAGCTTTCTGGCTTCAAGCAGACGACCGAAGGAGCACTACCAGACACAGCACAGATCCCCGTCCTGGGATTGTCGAACCAGGCCCCGGCCGATGATGCGCCTACAGGTGAAGACGGAGTGGAGGGTGAGGAGGTTGGAAAAGCTCAGGCTAATCAGGCGCTTTTGGCGGAATCAAACCAACCGCCATTGGAAGATCAGCTGGCCCGCTACACATTATGGCCAGAGCATGAGAAGCTGTATGGTCACGGATACGAGATCTCAGCCGTGGCCGTCAGCCACGACCGCACACTAATTGCCACCGCTTGCAAGGCGAGTTCGATTGATCATGCCGTGGTGCGTCTGTACGACACGTCGGACTGGCACGAGATTCGTCCATCTCTTGCCGCGCACACCTTGACCATTACTAGTCTCGCTTTCTCCAGTGACGACCAGTACCTTCTGAGTGTCGGGCGTGACCGACAATGGGCTGTTTATCAGCGCAGCGAACAGGACCCCTCTACATTCTCCCTTCTAACTTCGAACCCCAAGGGCCACTCCCGAATGATCCTCGATGCCGCATGGGCACCTGCGTCGGGCAAGCCCATCTTCGCAACCGCTGGCCGGGACAAGTCAGTGAAGCTGTGGCAAATGACCGAAGGCTCTTTCGAGTGCAAATCTACCATCCCGCTGACAACGCCTGTCACTGCACTGGCGTTCCTTCCGCAGATATACAACAACTCCTTCTTTGTGGCCACGGGCGAGGAAAGCGGGGCGGTGTCTGTCTACCAGGTTGCAGTCGACAGCCTGGAAGCCAGCCATCTGTCAAGTATCGACAAGCTTGCATCACCTTCGAAGGCGATCACGCAGCTGTCCTGGCGGCCGGTTCCTGATGCCGACATACGGAATTTTGCACTGGCGGTAGCAAGCGAGGACACTTCAACTCGGATATATAGTTTTTCGGACATGGTCTCATAACCAAAAAGGCCATATATGTACAGAACCAAAAACTAAATGAGCAGGAAAAAAAGAAATTATAATACCATGGGTTGAAATCTTGCGTAATGTTGAAAGCCCAGACTCCTGAAATGTTGAATATATCCCTCCCGAGTCTAGAAATCCATCTAGAGACACAAATAGTTGAATGATGCTCCGAACCCCTGCTATGCATATCCATTGATAGTGGCTGTTGAACCAATCATGTTGAACGATGCCAAAGAAAAAAAAATATAAGAAGAGCAGATGAAACCAATGAAAAGGCGCACTTGCATGTCATCAAGTAGCAGGTCGCTTTTCCAAGCCATACCCGCCCAAACCTTCCAGCGTCGGGTAAGTCTTAGCCTGACTAGTAGATCCATTTCTCGGACCCCTAGATTGCAAGTCCTCCTTGAGCCACTTCAGCACGAGCACACCAAGCTGACTATTCTCTGAAGACTCCTTAACCTCCTCGCGGAACTTCTCAATGGGACCCCACTGACGCACGCTTCCCAAATGCATATGGACAAGGTGAGTAGGCCACAGCGACAAGTTATCCAAGATGTGGGTCGCATAAACAATAGTGCAGGGTCTGATCTCGGTCTCACGTTTAAGGAAGGCCAAGAAATTGGCGCGAGAGAGGAGGTCCAGATCGACGGTGATTTCATCCAGGAGGAGGACTTGCCAGGGCCGGAGGAGGCCCATAGCTAGCTGGACGCGACGACGTTCGCCGTCCGAGACGGCGTGCATGCGCCAGTTGAGATCGATGTCGAGGATGTCGACGAGTTCATCCCGACGGTCAGGGTATGCATTGCCGCCGACGGAGGCGAGGAGGGTAGGGACGTCGATGTCGGTGCGGACGATGTTGTTAAGAACCCATTCCATGCCGAGGTAGGTTACGCCTTCGAGGCCGTCCTTGAAGGGGTCTTTGCCTGCGACGGTGATGGTGTCTGTGGGAGCTAGACGTTTTCCGGCTAGGAGGCGGAGGAGGGTGGTTTTTCCTGCGCCATTGGCTATTGACAGTGGTTTAGGAGTTAGTTTGGTTGATATATGCAGTAGCAGTGTATTGGACATACCTCCGATAAGTAAGGTTCGACTGCCGGCGGGGGCTTGGAGATTGACATCGGTCAAGCCGGCAGAACCATCGGGGAACTGGAAGGATAGGTTCTTGACCTCAATTGAGGGGGAAGGGGCGTTATTGTCTGTCATGGCGAGAGATGCAAAGAGGGAAAAAAAGATGAGGGGTAAGTTAAGTTGATAGTAGAATAGCAGACTGCTCTTATCTAACTAGTAGTGTGGATCACTCCGGTCTATGTCGTCGTATATATGTATTGACGGTCTGAACGAAGATCTATTATAAAAAGGAAGGAAATAAAGACTGTGCAAAGTGTGAAAAAGTTCAGGGAGAAAAGAAAAAGGAAGAAGAAGAGGAGGAATTGGAGGAGGAGCGATAAGACCCGATGAGGTAATAATGGATTGCGATGGCGGGGGAATTTGCGCCGGGAATTTTTCCAGAGCCGCACCGCCAGAATTACCTCCCTTCGAGCCCATCAGCTCGCGGTCTTCTTTGCCAGATGCATTTGTCGAGGCAAAGATGCTAATTCGGCCCTATTTCAATTTCCTCTCATGCAACCATTTCTCCGACGCTTTATGTCTCTCAAACGCCCCTCCGTTATGAAGCCGCTCATCGCTGTCGTCGGTGCCACGGGCACGGGCAAATCAAAGGTGAGAGCGTTTACTCCGCCAGGATCTTGGGATTGTCTTTTTTCTTCTGAGGCATTGCTTTACTGACGGTTGTAGTTAGCTTGCAGTGGACCTAGCCTCGCGATTTAACGGGGAGATCATCAATGGCGATGCCATGCAAATGTATCGCGGTCTCCCTATCATCACCAACCAGATCCCCGTCGAGGAGCGAAACGGTATCCCGCACCACCTGATTAGCTGTGTTGAGCTGGACGAACAGCCATGGTTCGTGGGCAGATTCAGAAGCGAAAGTCTCCGACTCATTGACGATATTCACGCCAGAGGGAAAACTCCCGTTCTGGTCGGCGGTACCCATTACTATACACAAGCCGTCCTGTTTAAGGATCAGCTACTTGGCGAGGATGCCACTGCAGACGATGTGCCGGAGGAAGCGGAAAATCGATTGACGGAAGATAACAACCCGAAGTCTTCGACTAAATGGCCCATTCTCGACGCTCCTACTGAGGTGGTTCTGCAGAAGCTGAGAGAGGTCGATCCGGTCATGGCGGATCGATGGCATCCGAATGAAGCACGCAAAATCCGCCGCTCCCTAGAGATCTACTTCCAGACCGGCAGGCCCGCGTCGGAGATCTACGCGGAGCAACAGCGGACGAAGCAGGCAGCCCTGACTCGGGATGACTCCCTTACAGGTGCCGGCCACTTGCGATTCCCGACGATGATATTCTGGGTGCACTCAGAGAAGGAGACGCTCAACACGCGACTGGACAAGCGGGTGGATGCAATGCTAGAGCAAGGGCTAATGACAGAAGCCCGGCAGATGTCGGATTACCTCCAAGGAAAGAAAGCCCAGGGCGTCTCCGTTGACCAGAGTCGCGGCGTATGGGTGTCTATCGGATACAAAGAGCTAGCACCCTATCTCGAAGCACTATATGCAGGCTCGGTGGATGAGGCCGAGCTAGAGAACCTCAAGAAATCTGGCGTTGAGTCGATCAAGACTGCAACGCGGCAGTATGCCATGTCTCAAATTAAATGGATCAGAAACAAGTTATGGCAGGCCCTTGCAGACGCAAGCTCGACCAATCGTCTCTACCTCCTTGACAGCACCAATGTCGACGCATGGGAGCAGAATATTACCGAGCCGTCCGAACGTCTTGTCCGCGCTCTGCTGGAAGACGAACCCACTCCCGACCCGAAATCACTGTCAGAGCTCGCGAGGACAGTGTTGGGCGCCAAGGAGTCGCAGCCGCAGAAAGAGTCAGGATCCGTCACCAAGTGCAGGACTTGTGACATCTGCCACAAGACCATGATGGGTGATGAGCAATGGCAAATACACATCAACGGCTCAGTCCATAGGAGAGCTCTTAAGAGCGCCGCCAAACGGGCCGCGCGTGATGAATATCTACGAAAGCGACAAAAGCTGCTACACGAGGGCCAGGAAAATGGCCCTGAATCTCCTGCGGAGCCAGATTTACAAGCCCCCCCCGTCCCCTCAAGACAGATAGACAAACAATAAATGTCTCAGAGAATTCCAACAGCACCGAGGTGCCTTGCATTTAGATGCAAATGTATCTGTGATACCCTTGGGTAACTATGTAGAGAGACACTTCAGCGCAGTGCATGCTAGCAGACCCATCTGCATCTTTGCTTTCACACCGTAAATGTTTGCAGATAGCGGGTGCAATCAAGACATCATTTGAAGAACCCATAACATCGGGTCGAGTTTGGTATGGGGCTTGGCGTATGGGGCAGCAAATAGATGTCAAATATAAAGCATTATATGCAGTGATTGCACGGCCCATACTAGCCACTGTACTGATCAGGTCTATCCAGTGACCGAGTCGGTCCAGACGATGTCGCAAGCGAAATCCCCATGCATCAAGTCAAGAGGCATGCATACTCATATCTGCAGTCTTGATAGCAGCCCTATCACTTTTGCGCGACTGGGTGAGAACCGACATTCTCTTTCATTGGAGTAGTCCACAGACGCAGGACCATTGGAAATGAGAAAATCGTCAATGATTCAGCGTTTGCATGGCTCAAGATTTGGATCTCCAGGCTGAAAATGCTGGTGAGATGATATCGCCAGTTCCACTCTCTTCCACCTTAAAGACTTCGATTAGTGACGATTTCTCACGTTTGCGTATTCTCCATGTGCCTTCCTCTTGGATGGTAGTTTTAAGCCCTGCATCAGTCAGTTTACATCCTCCGTCCTTTGCTTTTTGATTCTAGCAGGCGAGATTGAAGGTATACGCACATTCAAGGAAGGTGGCAGCAAAGTTAATGCAAATATTTCCGTCCCAAGTCCCACGGCCAAGCTTCTTGACTTTTCCGGGTATGGCAGAAGTCTCGAGCTCCTCAAGACGATGGACGATACCTTGTTGGTCCCGAAAGCCGACAATGATTTTGGGTACACCGAGCAAGAATGACTGGGCCCAGAATTTCAGAAGCTTTCTTTCGTATTTGACCATGTCCCGGTCATTCCTTATTTCGGCGGAAGTTTTCAGTTCTACCCAATGGATAGGATCTTCTTTTCGATCAGGTTTGCAATCCCAGACTGTGAATAGAATGCGTTAGAACATATATATGCGTTGCTGAAAGTGGTGGCGATGGAGCGGTAGGTGGCCTTATGACATACTTGCATCTACCTCCCCACCAATAACTAGGCGTGCGCGGCCGATGGCAGTGCGCACCACTGAACAATACTGGGCATTGTTGTTTACAATGAGCTCCTCTCGGTTTTCAATCTCTCTGCGAGGAGTCGGGTCCCATGGCTGATCGAGCACTGACAGAGTCTCGAATTTATAGCCTGACTTGGTCAATAACATTTCTTGCAATAAGGAGAAGTGAGGTCTCACCCCAGTAGGCCATCAGATCCTGAGACGCCATTCCCGGAGGCATTCGTTGGTTCTTCTGAACTCGTTTCTGCTCATTTTTGTAGCTGTTGTTCTCTTCGATAAATCTAGACGGTTATTAGAGTCGAGAGCCAGTAGATATAGCAAGCTAGCATTAACCAACATTGTGCCCTAGAAGTACATTAGCAATGAGCCCCCGATCCGATGGCCAATAACATACCTGGAAGCAGGTCGCGTTCATTTCAAACCTGTACGCAAATCAATGGCTGAAGCAGGAAAGGCGACAAATTGAGAGTACACACCCATTCAAGTTATCAAAAGGAGCTGCAAGGATCTAGACAAATTGAACATGAGCATATCTCTCGGTCCCATATGAATGGTACACATTATAGGAGGTGTCTACCTTGGTCATCATGCCTCTCCACGTGATGATATCAGCTTCACATTTCTTCTGGGTTTCTTGTTCCAGAGCCATGACTGTTTCGAGCAGAGCGTCTAGATGCTCATCAGCTGAATCATCTAGCTTTTGAAATGACTCGAAGCCGCGATTCAGGTCCGCGGGAAGGCATGGCGGATAGTAGTATTTCATCGATGAGTCTCCGAGATGGAACTTATGCTCATCATCGTAAGAGAAACATGCAATCTCCTGGACAACGGTTAAGGGCCGACTTTGGGCATTAGGAAATGGATATACTAAGCTTACCTTCGGACGTCGAATGGCAGCGCTAGCTTCGTAGAAGCGACCAATGGGCTGAATATCAAAGGCCTTGCGGTCCATGTTTTGAGATATTGCCCGGGTATGGTTGGTGACTGGGATGTAAATGCGCAGAAAGGGTTACTCTATGTACTCTTTCTGCCGTGCGCGCGCGCCTTTCACGAGATGATACCAGAGATTAAGACCGCATGAACTAAAGTGTCAGAGGTGTACTGATGTTGCTTGGGAAGAAAACAATTTGAATTTCATCCACCTCAAATATAGCTAGGTAAGAACCCTGCAGCTCGTAAATGCGGAGTGGAAGAAATAAGTTAGATCGTCGTTGCAGTAGTTCAGTCCAGCTGCTCCCGTCATTCTGGAAGAACCGAAGCGCGTCCCCACCAAAAGTCGCCCGGCCATCAACTTTCCCGGCCGCAAGTTGGCTTGACATCGTCAACCATCCCCCGTTCAGGCCTGTCGCACTTGTTGTGGCCGCTTTATCTTCGCTTTTACTCACTTATACTATTTTGTGTGGCTGTATTGCTATAGCAAGCCATCGTTTTCTCACTGCATCTCCGACCTCTTAACAGTCGCCCCTGGTGATTCATCCGTTCAAGATGACCTCACGTATCGACAAGACAATTGCTCGACAACGAGAGAAGTGAGCCAAACCCACCTTGCTTCCCCCCCACAGAGTAGTTTCTTGATGTCTACATGCTTTGCCAAAAGAATATGATAACTGACGCATCTTGTCTTCCTGAAGGATCGCTTCTGGTGCTTACTATGAAGCTCACCAGCAACTGCGGGTCATCGCTGCCCGGTATATCAAGCAAGCGAACTACGATGCGGCGGCAGAGATTCTTGCTGGCGGCGCCGCCGCACTACTGAAAGCTGGATCTCAACAGGGTGCTTCTGCCAGTGGCGGCGATTTGGCGATCATGTTGGTGGTTGAGGTCTACACAAAGGCGGGGTGGGAGATCACTGGAGGAAATGACGATGCGGAGGGGCGGGCTCGGAAGAGTGAGTGCTTGCCTATGCCCTGTTATACATCGCCGCGCCAGGTTGCCGATGTATTACGATGCCTTTTTGAAAGTATGCGGACTGACCGAGGGCTCCCTCTATCTACAGAGCGCTTAATCGAACTTCTGCACGAATTCCCGCCCGAAGAGCCTACCCGGAAAAGGTTTATCCAGGAGATGATCGGTTGGAGTGGCAGGTTTGGACCCTTAGAACGCGGCGACCCTGAGTTGCATCATGCCGCTGGATCGGTATATGCGGAAGGTATGCAGACCCATATTAATTCTGATTTCGAGGGCGACTTCATAACAGCTATCTCTAGACCACGAACCCTATGACGCGGAAAAGCATCTCATCTTTGGTACCTCGGAATCAGCTGAGACTCTGGCCAAACTGGAATTCGAGTGGTACACCCATGACGAACCGCACACTGCCGCACTTTATGCCTCTCGCGCGGTATTCCCATATCTCTTGATCGGAAACCTTCGCAGCGCCAACAAAGCCTTCCTCATTTTCACGTCAAAGCTTTCCTCCACAAACCCCTCACTCGGTGTGCAAGATGTCAGCAGCGCTAGCTCTGACGTACGCGTCTTCCCCGCGCTGCCATTGTTGAATTTCATCAGCATGCTGCTCCTTACGATTCAGCGCGGTAGTTCGGATTTGTATAAGCAGTTGACGGCGCATTATGCATCTCATATCAGAGACGTCGGAATCTGGGATGACGCCCTGTCTCAGATAGGCGAGCAATATTTCGCAATCAAGATCCCAAGGCAGAGCAACCCGCTGCTGGATATGATGGGAAGCATGTTCTTTGGTGGCGGTCAGGATGGTGCTGGTGCCCGGATGGCACCTCAGGGCAGAGGAGGGTCGAAGCGGGTGGAAGCGCCTCCGACGAGTATGGAGCTCGATTAGAGGGATGTCAAGGGAATTTGATGTTGTAGTAGGCTGCAGTCTGAACGCATCATTCATCACGCATAGTAATTAGTATAGACCATCATATCGCAAACGAATCGGTTAGGCCCTCGAGTCGACTTCAGCCTCGTACATCCAGTTATCTTCCTCCAAGGCGGCAACCTTATTGCGAAGGCTCTGGTGTATACGGTTGAGTATTTCTATAGACATCAGCCGAATCGCATCGCAACATAGATCCTGGGAATGTAATCGAGGCTCACCGGCAGGCTCGATACTCATTTGTCGGTTTCGATTCCGATACATCATCTCAACAAGGTTTGCCTCCATCTCTAACCCATAATTAGCTCGCCTAACTTGGGCCATCGGGGCGCGGAGCTGAATCTCCACCTACTCTCTTTCTCCTGCGCACTCAAATTGCCCCCTGCTGCGCCGGAACCATCGCCGGCACCCACACCTTCTATACCTTCCATTTCCTCACCATCTTCACCAATCAAGGGGGGTAGTACAGGGACATCAAGCTTGTAGCTACCGTTCTTGTCCTTAACCACGATTTCCCCGTTGTCAACGGATCCGGCGCTTAAAGATGTAGGTGCTTCAGACGAATTTGATTGCAGCAGCTGCGATGATAGGCCAGAGGTTCCGTTGCTGGTTTTGCCCTGTGCAGAAGAACCTGCGGGGCCAGTCGAGCCAGCGCGTTTGCTAATGTGGTGGTGGAAGAGATTGCGGCGGACGGAGGTTGTTCCCATTGCGGGGGCGTAGGGATAGAGAAATACTGAATGTGTACACAGGTAGGTATAATGTGTAAGGATGCCTTTAAGCTGGTTAGCAATGTGTTTTGAGCCCAGGCAAAACTGGTGTCGGTAGTCGTGAGGTCGATGTTGAAGCAACCGAAAGGACTGAGTAAATGAATTTAGAAATGGATGGTGAAACTAAGAATATCCGTCGTAGGAGTTTGAATGAGCATAATAATTGCTGGCCTGGAGCGATATCTTATGGTTAAGGGGCGTGAATACAGAGGACCCTAGATACGTATTGAGGTTGAAGTTGCAAGGCGGGATTCCGAAAGGCATCACCAGCAAAACCCATCAGTCAACTGGCTGCCTCTAAGAACAAATGTGTGCTTGAGCAAATTAAAGCCGGTATTTCTATACCTGGCTTGGTAATAGTATCAACGGGTATTATTTGCATTTTCCCATCGTAACGAATGAAATTCTTTGGGATCGTGCAGGAGTCCAGTCGCTTTTGGCTTCAGCACCGGCGAACAATAACTACCCTTTTGGGCCAAATCTATGCCGACGCGTCTCCGCCTCGACTTTCGCGTCTCCCGCTTCTTCAATTCTAACCCATCATCAGCGCTTTTGCTCCTGCTCTCGGTCTAGCACACAACGAAACCATTCAGTCTGAGGTTGCATATAATTTACATCAAGTTATTATTCGCTATGGTTCAAGCCGAATCCTCAGCCAGTGCCTCTCGCAATGGCCTCAAGGCGCATACGGCCGGCGCCCCTCCTGACTATGAATTGCCCTGGTACGTACACCAGGTTCCAGCACTAAGGCCAGCTCAGAATGCCGAGTCTAACTGCCAATCTCTGGAAATAGGGTAGAGAAATATCGCCCGGTATTCCTCGATGACATTGTTGGAAACACAGAAACAGTCGAGCGCTTGAAGATTATCGCTAAGGATGGAAACATGCCGCACGTTATCATCTCGGGCATGCCCGGTATTGGAAAGACAACTTCGATCTTGTGCCTGGCGAGACAGCTATTGGGAGACGCATATAAGGAGGCAGTTCTGGAGCTCAATGCTAGTGATGAAAGAGGTACTCCTACCGCACTATGAGAGGGAGACGAGAAGCGGCTTTAATCTAATCTGCTCTACAGGTATCGACGTGGTACGAAACCGGATTAAGGGCTTTGCCCAGAAGAAAGTCACCTTGCCGCCTGGTCGCCATAAGCTTGTCATTCTTGATGAAGCCGATAGGTACGTACTGGACAATGAGCTATATCGTCTGTCTTGGATGCTCACGCATGATGCAGTATGACATCAGGTGCCCAGCAAGCATTGCGGCGTACAATGGAGATTTATTCGTCGACGACACGCTTCGCATTTGCCTGCAACCAGTCAAACAAAATCATCGAGCCGATTCAGTCGCGATGCGCTATCCTACGTTATGCTCGGTTGACCGATGCGCAAATCGTCAAGCGCCTGAAGCAAGTATGCGACGCCGAGAAAGTGGAACATAACGAAGAGGGCATCGCCGCCCTGGTATTCAGTGCTGAGGGAGACATGCGTCAGGCTATCAACAACCTGCAGAGTACATGGTCTGGTTTTGGTTTCGTCAGTGGGGACAATGTTTTCAGGGTAGTCGACAGCCCGCACCCGATCAAGGTCCAGGCAATGATCAAGGCTTGCTGGGAAGGCAAGATTGATGCGGCGTTGGAGACACTCAATGAATTATGGTATGTGTCGCGGTGCAGTCTGCCAGTTCTACGGGTGTGGATGTATTCTGACTATTATTTAGGGATTTGGGGTATTCCTCCCATGATATCATCAGCACCATGTTCCGTGTCACCAAGACAATTCCCACTCTGTCAGAACATTCCAAGCTGGAATTCATCCGGGAAATTGGTTTCACGCACATGCGCATCCTAGACGGCGTGCAGTCACTGCTCCAACTCAGCGGCTGCGTTGCGAAGCTTTGCAAGATCAACATGAAGCCGCAGCTCTTTGAGCCACCGAAGAACTGAGATGAAAATGAAAGTATAAAATAGATGCAGGCATAACTTGGAGTTTGGGGCGTTTACAAAGCAAGGCTATATCAAGCCCTGGGGTAACTAGCACATGTCGAACACTTTTGATTTTCAAGTTATCATTGATATAGACTCCCGGTATCATTCATTAGGCTCAGTTCATACATCATAGAACTGGGATCACTTCCTTGCAGGCATGGGAGCAGAAGGCATCCTAGCGCCCTCCGGCGGCTTGTTCTTGCTCTTGAATTCATCGCACATCTGTTCAAAAGTAACCCATTCCACGCCCTCGTGCTTGTTGATATATTCAATGATTCTAGATCCGATCAGCAAGGCACTCCACATGAGAGTTCGAACCAGACAATCACCCAACTTACCTCTCATGCATAAGAAGAACATGCGGACGACCCGACACATCAGGATGAATAGTCATGGGGAAGACAAACTCGTCGTACTCGCGATAGAAGTAGTCAAAATGATCCTGCCAGAACATCAGTTACATCACAAGGCCCCAAGAACCAACGAATCAAACCCCCTAAGACAGAAGAAAAGCAAACTCACCTTCCAAAGCTCCTCAACATCCTTAGGATTCACCCAACCATGACTATTCGGCGCGGACTTGATAAACATCATAGGCGGCAAATCATCAATATACCAATTGCCCGGGATCTCCACGAGCCCCGTATCCTGGCCCCTAACCAGCGGCTTCATCCAAGTTTCCGCCTTCTGGGAATAATCAATCTTAGTCCATGTATCGCCCGTCCTCAACCAATACATCTGACAATCATGATGAGACATGGAATGATCATATTCGATTCCATAGGAGAGCAACAAATCGGCCATCTCTTTACTGGTCTCCCACCATGGCGCAACGATGCCCCGCGGCGGCTTGCCAGTGAAATCGTACAGCAGGTGATAGGTCTTATCGAGAATGTCGCGTTGCTGCTCGAGGGTCATGTCGGAGGGGTTTTCGTGTGTGTAGCCGTGCAGGCCGATTTCGTGGCCGGCGTCTCGTACCATGGCGCATTCTTCCGGGAAGGTTTCGAGTGAGTGGCCGGGGATGAAGAAAGTGGCTTTGATGTTGTATTTGGAGAAGAGTTTGAGGAGACGTGTGGTGCCGATGTGGCCGGCCCAGAGTCCTGTAGGGTGTGAGTGAGTGTACTACCACTACTATCCGTTGAGTGTAGTATAGAAAGTGTGTGTTGGCTTTTACTTACCTCGACTGATATCGTTGGAGCTGTCCTCGCCGCCGTAGGATCCCAGCCAGCCGGCGACGGCATCGATATCGACGCCGTAACTGACGAGAACGCGCTTCTTGCCCATTTCCTTGGTATTCTTTTTCTGTGTTGGGGAAAATGGGTTGAATCTGGGATGATGTGGTAGACTTATGTGTGGGATATGTAAGTGGGTTGTGTGAGACGCAGGAAGTCAAGTCTACAGATTTAACCGAGGAGTAACTCTCTCTCCCCTCCAACCTTGGTTATTGGCTTTTCTTTTATATGGTAGTCGATCAAGGAGGGGACCGATGAGGAGAGGGGGAGAGGGGGGGGGGGAAACCGACAAATTCGGTCATCTGAGATAAATAATCGGAGGGGGGAAGGAGATAAGGCGCGATAACAGGCATGGAGAGAGTTGGGGCTACAGCAATTAGGACTGAGTATTACTTAGTCGATAAAAGTCATGATACGACCTAGTTTGACTAGTATATTAGCTATCTAGATACGAACTATGTAGTTACTTTGTACTTGCTCTGGACTGAAACACAGTATGTTGGCTTACTCCAACAGTGACGCCTCCACTTCTGGCAGTGTCTCCAACAGCCCGGTTGGGGTAAGGCTCGCGGAAAAGTGGGGGTTGCGCTCGGAGCGATGGAGAATTGGAGATATCTAGATAATTAACTCGAGTAACTAGTTAGTTAGTAGATACAGCTTACATATCAGACACACCGAAAGTGGACTAATGGACTATGCTATAGATGTCTCAAACTAGCTGCGCCAGATCTTCTCAATGGCAGTCGCTGCTCCTAGGACCTTCTCCTCTTCTAGTTTCTTGCCGATGATTTGAACATTAATCGGATGACCATTCATAGCCTCCGCATTGTAAAGCCCCCAGTTCCATGCGTCCAGTTCATTCCTCGGTTGATATCCTGCTGGCAGTTCGTCCACCTCAGCCCGCACCTGATCCACTGGTAATGTAACAGCGGAGTAATCGAGGAAGTTCCAGATTTTGGTATATCCAACCCACCGCAGCGTTCGGTGGGGAATAGCAGGATGGGGCGTTGTCGGGGCCAAGAGTACATCAATGGGCTTCCCAGAGGGAGAACGTGTTGCGTTCCACTTATCCAAGTATTTCTTCTGCAGCGCAGTCTTCTTCTTGTTGAGCTGCCAGTACTCGTAGACGGAAATGGCTTTTCCGCGATTCACCAATGCTTCCACGTGGGGAATATAAGGCTCTCCAGCAGCTTCCACATCGCGGCGGATATCTTCACCCCCATCCACAGTGTAGAAAGCGTCCATGAGTTGGATGTATTCTAGATGATCGGAAGCATCCCAGAGGACTAGCTCGTGGCCGTGCGCTTCAAGTTTTGCGGCAAGATCCCGGAGCGCTCTCTCGATGGGAGGATGAACCTTCACCACTCCATCGTCTAAAATGAGTCCGATTACCATAGGCCGGTTCTGGACCTCCTCGTGTGCGCTGTCATTCCAGGGCAGCGGGGTACATTTGGGGTCTAACTGCCACGGTTGTGCATCAGCAATTAGTCGGCTTACATAGCAGAGAGATGATAGATCTCGTGCCATGGGGCCAACTGAAGAGGGAACATGCTCCTGCCCCTCGGTAGACACCGGTACGCCATGATACGGAAGCCTACTGCTCTATAGCGTTTGTCAGTCAGGTCAGTTCACTTTACCTTAGCAGGTCTGGGAAGGTAGTTGGGCTTACAGTAGGCTTCAGACTATACAGACCCATGTGACTCTGAGGAATCCTCACACTGCCACCGATGTCTGTTCCATATCCCAGGATAGAGCCGTGCAATGCCAATAAAACAGCTTCCCCTCCGGTAGAACCGCCTGGTGTAAATTCAGGATTCCGTGGGTTGACAGTCAGTCCCCAAAGCGGATTGTCTGTTTCAGCCCACTAAGTTACAGGTCAGAACCGTGGCCTTCATTGACGAGGTAGGTGGATACAGACCATTATACTCTGTGGTAAATTGGTTTTCGCCAGCACAATAGCGCCCATATCCTTCAGCATTTGCACTAGGACTGCATCTTCTGTAGCGGGAGCAAAAGAACGTCCCACATAGCCAAGTGTGGTGTCAACACCCTTGACATTGAACTGATCTTTTACTGTAACCGGAATGCCGTGGAGTGGACCCTTGATTTGACCGGTTTGGTTAAAAGCATGGTCAAGTTGCCGGGCTTGTTCTAAGGCATCTTCGAACACGATTTCCGTGAGGCAGTTGGTCTGTCGGATCATGTTAATTAGTGGTGATCTTCAGAAACTTTTCTATGCCAGTTCCACTTACCAACTGATGAGCTACCACAGCTCTGGTGTTACGAGAGTCAGTCAGAGTGGGGGCAAAGCTAGAAAGGGCAATGCAGGTTACCTTCTGATAAAAGCTAATGTCGTCTGCTCAGCTGTGTATTTACCCGATTTCAGGCATTCGAAAAGCCTAGGCACGCTGTCGATGTCTGTGATCTCCTGGATTGCAGGATCTCCATGGATACACGTGCGCTCCTGGACAGAGAGCAGCTGGGGTAAACGCCGGTCGATATCATTGGCTTCGTACGGCTTCAGGAGCTGATTCCGTAGAGAACGCTTCCGGGAAACAATTTGCTCCCACGACTGGAGGCTTCCCATTATGGCAAAAATATTTCAAGATGGTTAACTAGTTAGTATCGAAGGACAAATGGCAACAAAAGGTCTTGTGCCCGTACGGAGTCGTCACTTCCTCCCTTAATAGTAGTATATATGATAGTACGGATTAATGTCAGAGTTATGAGTTGGTGCCCGCACCAGAACTTACTATCTGCTAGTGCGGGCCCCAAATATAAATCGGAGTCATCAACTAGTTAGTAGGGATCTGGCAGCTCTCGGAGCAGATACGGAAAAGTCAAGCAGTAACAACTTGTTGAAGGTGGGGTTAACTACGGGAATCAAGGGTCATTTGATAGCAAAGCCAGGCATTCGTGCGGAGTAATCGGAATCCAGTCCTGATAAGAAAAAACGACCCTCATCGCTAGATTAGATTCTAACAGAACGGATTAGACTGCATTTGGATTGATTGAACCTTGGCTAGTCAGGCACGCCGAAGTAATTCCGGGGGATCGCTGATCAACCGGACAATGTTTTTTTCTGGGGGAGACTGTCCAAGCGGAAGAGAATGTTTAAAACGTATTTGAAAAAGACAATCCCGAAAAAGAATCTGGGGAAACTGTAATTGTATTCAATACTCCCTTCGGAAATAAAGTCAGGTTGGAAGCTTTTGGGTCTGTTTAAGATGGAGAGAGAAAAAGGATTGGATTAGGACTGGGGTGGGGGAATGAATCCCCACCAAGGTCAAATCCACAACTGGAAACACCGGCCACACGCCGGCCAGCTTTTCCCCTTCGAATTTCCCCGTTTCTCCTCACTCAGCTGCCGACGCCTTCCATCACTGGCTGTGAGCTCCGAGGCGTGTTGGAAAACAATTTTGACCTGTTCACCAACAATGCTCATGACTCGTGAGATGCATTGTTCAATGTTGTCTTTTTACTTGTCTCTCGATTACTAAGTTCTCTCCTTCCACCATTCAGCCTCAATAATTTGGAGGACATGCCACCATGAATCCCCCCGACTCTGGTGCCGCTGCAACATCAGCGATGACCGGTGCCATCCGCACCGAGTCCCGAAAGAAGTCCTCCGGCGCAATTGCGAAACGTGCGTGCGACCAATGCAAGTTCCGCAAGATCAAGGCAAGTAATATACTTAGATTCCTACGGACCCCTTTCCGATCTGGG